GGAATCCATATTTTGGACAGACAGCACATGCGTCCTAAGCTACATAAGAAACGAAAGCCGAAGATTCCAGACTTTCGTCGCAAATAGAATTTCGAAGATCCACGACGCATCCGAACCAACTCAATGGAGATATGTTAACACCAAACTAAACCCTGCAGACGATTCCTCACGAGGTCTGACAGCTGAAGAAATTGTAACGAGCGAAAGATGGTTGAGAGGCCCAGAGTTTCTGTGGCAACCAGACGAACAATGGCGAAGCCAACATCAACCAATTCCTGAGAATTTGGATAATGACCCCGAGTTGAAGAGAGAAGCTACCGCCTTGTCTACAGCTACTGACGAGAATGACAGCATCAACTCCATGTCACGGCGCTTCGAGAAGTTCTCTACTTGGAAGGGATTAAGGAAAGCTGTCGCATGGTTGATACGTTGCAAACGCCGTATTCAAGAAGCGGCGAAGCGACGCAAGAATGGCGAAACGACACAACCTGGTGACCAAAGAAAGGAGACCAACCCAATTAGTTTGGACGAACTAAATCATGCAGAGAAGGTGATCCTTGGAATAGCACAACGTAAGCGTTTCCAAAGCGAGATAAACTTGCTCGAAAGACAGAAACCAAGCAATCCCAGCAGTGAATCAAGCAGAACAGCAAAGTCGAATCCAAAGAAGTCAAGCTCAATTTATAAATTGAACCCAACGATGATGAACGGTCTGCTTTGCGTCGGAGGACGGTTAAACCACGCACCTATCCAGAACGATGCCAAGCACCCTGTAATCCTTCCCCAGAAACATCATGTGGCGAAGCTGATTGTCCTACATTACCACCAGCTATCAGGTCATTCAGGAATTGAATACGTATTGTCTACATTACGACAGAAATATTGGATAGTCAAGGCAAGAGCACTCGTTCGTAAATGCTTGAATGATTGTTTTGACTGCAGACGAAGACAATCTCCAGTTGGAGAGCAAAGAATGGCAGATCTACCGAAGCCGTGTTACACCTTGTCAACCTCCCTTCACCTTCACCGGTGTAGACTGTTTTGGGCCATTCAACGTGCGACGAGGAAGAAGTCAAGTGAAAAGGTATGGCGTCATTTTCACTTGTCTGTCCATCCGAGCCATCCACATAGAAGTGGCTTCAAGCCTCGACACCGACTCATTCATCAACGCCATGAGAAGATTTATAGCGAGAAGGGGTACTCCAGCAGAAATGCGATCCGGTAATGGCGGAAACTTTGTCAGTGGAGAAAAGGAACTTCGTCGCTGCATTAAAGATTGGAACCAATGAATTCTTACTACAGAAAGAGATCAAATGGATCTTCAACCCACCAGCAGCATCCCATCATGGCGGCGTTTGGGAACGCTGCATACGAACGGTAAGAAAGGTGATGAACACCCTACTGAAGGAACAAGTCCTAGACGACGAAGGTTTGCTAACCCTGATGTGTGAAGTGGAAGCAATCATCAATGGCCGGCCCATCACGAAGGTATCGGACGATTCAAGAGATTGCGAAGCATTAACCCCAAACCACATTCTCCTGCTACGAGCCGGGTCGACACTCCCGCCCGGTAGATTCGAGAAGGAAGACCTATACACGAGAAAAAGATGGCGTCAAGTCCAGTATCTCGCTGATGTGTTCTGGCGCCGTTGGCTCAAGGAATACCTCCTTTCACTACAACAACGCGTTAAGTGGAACAAAGAGCGAAGAAATTTCGAAGTCGGCGACATCGTCTTGGTTCTCCAAGAAAACTGCTCCCGCAGCTCCTGGCCTCTAGCCCGAATCATCGAAGTGTACCGAAACTCGAGGGACAATAACGTGCGAAGCGTTAAAGTGAAAACAAGCACATCATCATTGGAAAGACCAATCAACAAGATCGTGCTGTTGGAAGCTGCAGCAGAAGAGAAGAAGGACTAAAGGAAGAACTCTCACAGAGCTGAGTAGAACTTTATATACATTTTAGCTATAGTTAATATATATGTCTTAACGTTTCAAACATTTCTTTGTTATTTGGTAAAGGCTCTAGTATACTCCGCCTTTAAGGGGCCGGAATGTTAGTTTGAAATTCGATACTAGATAATACGCGCTATTAGCCCTTGGGCACAGAACTTAATTAATCATAAACGAAAAGCGATTAGATCTGAGAGAAAGAACACTAAATCTAAAGTAGAAAAGAAAACCTTATTGGAATTGAAATTTGGCCAAAATCAACGAAAAGAAGTAGAGAGGAAACCAAAGTAAGATAGATTATGACTTATTTTCTTGTTGAACTTGATTATTTGTACCGAAGTATTGAACAGATCCTATTGTCACGATATATTCTCTACATATTAATTTTATAGTTAAATTTAGGCTTATACTTAGTATAGTTTATTTGTTTCTATTTAGTTCGAACTCGCACGATCGATGAACTATATTGTAACCGTACAATCTCGAATTAAAGTCTATAGTGTATAGTCTTGTCTATTGCCTTCAAATCAGCGAAGTTCGAATTAACTCCTCAACCTCACGCAACCTGAAATAAAAGCCATCAACCCAAACGAATCTCAAAATCTAAAATCAAGCCTACAGAGAGAAGGCCCTCATCGAGACTGAGCCTCAGTAGTTGTAATTAGTTCTTAAAACATGTCCTGACTAGCACATGCATTTGAAGGTAAGCTCTGAAGTGGCGACAGCTAAGTATAGTTAATTCATCAGTTGAACTTTGATGCACAATTTGAATTAACTTCGTGACACTTGACTTCAAACAATTCGAAGTTTGCCGTTTGCTGTTTTAGCGGCCACGAGTCGACGACCAACCAGGCTAATTAAACCACGTCAAAAATGGCAAGTTTCACTATCATGTGGTATTTCTGGGAGCGTGTAACAACCTCTAGATCTGGCACCCGCTTACAGACGCAAATTACGGGAACACGCAAAATTTCTCTTGCGTTGTCAAGCGAGACCGAATATAAAGTGAATACGTTTGACGAGTTTAATTTGAAAGGCCTCGTAAAATATATAATTTGACATATATATTATGCCTGTATATTACAGGGGGAGGGGGCAATACACTTACCCTGACAATTGCGCCATCGACGCATAACGTTCTGTATCAATCCTCGTTTAAAGTCCGACAGGAAATCTGGGGCGGGTTGTACGGAATGCAGCGGATTGCGCTGTCCACCGGATATATAGTGATATTTTCAACAGTTGAAAAATTGTTCGAAAAGTTATAAAACTTAAAACTGCGGATATATGAACTGCGAAATTACTCAAACGAAACTTTAATTCATACATACTAAAGTTTAATCTAAGTTGTACCCAATGAATGATCAATTTTAGGAAGGTTGAAAATGTTACTATCCGGTTCGATAGCGTTACCCGACTTTCGGACTACCGACCCCTGAAACCCATCAAGTGAAGTGAATTTCAATATGTGAAATGCAACAAGTGAATTTCAATAATGGTTCTACACATATAGTGGTCATTTTAAAAATATTGGCATTTGGAAGAGAGCATGAAATTATGTTAATTAGTGTTTGGCAAAAGATACTTTGAAGCGACTACATGCGCAAGACTACGGCCAGAGAGAACATTCTCGAAGCTCACCAATTTTGCAACCTCGTTCCCAGGGTATTCGCTCTTAAAGATCCTGGGAAAGAGGTTGCCTATTTTGCAGTGACAAACCCAACCCACGAACGGGCATACGCCTGAACTCTATTGAAGGCGCCATCTTATTTTTGTAATTTTAGTCGAATTCGAAATCTTTGTTGTTTGAGGCCGTTTAAAACCGATACGAGAAACCCGTCTTGCTATACAGTTGCATGAACTTTATATACATATAGGGGAACTGACTTAATTATTACTCCAATATAATTTAACAGTTACACTTACGCTTTGCTTCTCAAATCTGGCACTCGCCTATGTAACGATATCATATCACTGAGTACAATATTTAGCTCGTATTTCTTGTACCCTGCTCGAATCTTCTTCGAGAATGTTTTGTTGAGATTAACCGGATTACCGTACTCTCCCAGGCCTTTGGAATTATGAGATTTAGGCAACTTTTCATAGTTTGCCAGCCATGTTCGTCTTTCCAACTCGTAAACATTTTGTCTTTTACCTTTGGCGCGGTTCGCCGAGGGAGAAAATGTAATTCTGTCATAAATAAGGAACAGAAGACTGCACATAAACCATAGACAAGTACAGGCCACAACAGTGCGATACAGTCGACGAAGACGAAAGATCATTGTCAATAAAAAACCGGCTGCATAAGCTCTTCATGATTACATCTGGATCGATTCGACTTTCAAGACCATCTCACCGTTCCAATGAGAGTCAATTGAAGCATTTTGTTATAGTGTGAAGTCAGCTTGTGAAATAATTTTCTTTCAATTTCATCTTTGCTAACAAGAACCCGCACAAGTTTGTAGACATTTCTATAGCATATTATAATGATCGCTTTATTATGCTTTGAAAGCCGTACAAACTTGTTCCATGCTTCAGGCAGGTACCAGGAGTAAGAACAATACGGCTATAAGCGGGAACGGGCCAAATCGGGGAATGGAGGAACAAGGAATATCGGGGAATATCATATTCCCTCTTTTAAAGATCTTTAAGAGGGGGAATATATCGGGGAATATCATATGATATTTTAAACAATTCTAAGGCTTTTGCATTATGAATTTGAAATATATATTTCTGAAAATAGCAATGTTAAACATCGTCAAGCTGTTTCAAATCTCATGCAGCTTCACCTCATAGATTATACCTGTTGAAACTGGTCCATAGTAGCAATTGCTACATTTTGTCTATAAGCTTAGTCAAATAAATCGCTCTTTTCGTTATATTTTAATAATCATGACGTGTTTATGTATGTTATTGCAATGAAAGACAGATCCGTGGGAACATTGGTAGCCAAAGTATTGCTTCGATGTCCTAACAAATTTCGATAAATTAAGACTAGTATAATTCCAATTTTCAATCCAGCCTCTCCGTAAATTTAATATATGTATTCTATGTATCAGTATTGGTATAGCTCTGTTTGAACACAGAAATAATTCAAACCATGCAGGAGGTTCACATAAACAATTAGCCCTTATAAAGTGCCTATGACACGAAATTTCACCCCAAATGTTTATGCTTGCATTGTAAAGATCACTTAAAATGACTCAATAATTTCTTTTATAGAATTTTGGTAACTTGCTTCCTTTTTCAAGATATTCAACTTTGTTTCATATGCAAATATCACCGGTGTGGCATCACATCGCATGACATTTTGAAAACGCAATATTTTACCTTGATAAAATATTTTTACAAACAAATACAAAGGGTTAATTACCAGTTATGAAATTAATACATATACAAGGGCAATTTTTAAGTTTTTTAGATACGTATTCGTCAAGAAAACGATACTTTTCTGAAAACTCATGATGTGATGTGATGTGATGTCACACCGGTGATATTTGCATATGAAACAAAGTTGAATATCTTGAAAAGGGAGCAAGTTACCAAAATTCTATGAAAGAAATTATTAGGTCATTTTAAGTGATCTTTACAATGCAACCATAAACCTTTGGGGTGAAATTTCGTGTCATAGGCACTTTAATAATTAAACGCAGAGGTTAAGCCTGGTTCACACTAGCAATTTTGTCGGCGATTTTGTGTTTCTGACGGATTCATATCAGGACAGCGAGTCGCTTTTCAGTCAGAAGTGAACAATTCTAAGTCTTTTGCATGTCATTCATTCGATCGCTTTTGCCAGAAGAAAAATCGCCGAAGTGCTGGTGTGACCCAAGGTTTAGATTATAAGCAGGATTCCACTTGCCGTTTCGCCGTCGAAATTTTTCGCTCAATTTCTTCTGAATTTTCAGCGGTCAAGGAGAACTAATTTATTCGGATGGTCACAATTCAAAAGAAATCAGGCGAAATGTTTCTCTGTAAAGCCTGGTTCACATGTACCTGCGGTATTTCGGCGGGCTATTGTCGTTAGCAATTCAACCAAATGATTCACAAAATAATTTATGTATCGACAGCTGTAAACAATGATAGCGCAGGCATGTGAACCAGGCTTAAGACTATCAGTGGAAATCCACCATTAATTATAGGGTAAGGTTTAGAGTACGGTTTAAGGGTTTTGGATTATTAATTTATTATAAGTATATTATATATATTCTTTCGCGCTTTAACGATCTTGAAAAATAGTCGCCATGCATCTTGAAACCCCCCTTCTCGTCGATCCCCTTAAGCAACGACCGTACAAAATTCCCACAATGGAATGCCGACGATAAACAGGATTTCGTGAGACGAGTGGACTCCACGTACATCGAGGTGAAACAGTTTCGATAGATTGAGATGCACTGTTGCATGTTCTTTTTTAGCTTAAGCCTGGTTCACATATGCCTGCGGTATGCCTGCGACTGTATCATTATGCCTCTACTTGCCGCCGATGTAACTGTGGCACTGGAGGCAATCGGCGAACAAATGTTTACACAATTTACGTTTTAAAGCTACCACCGGCATCGTCGCCGGCATATATGTGAACCAGGCTTTAGTTCGTAAAACAGTTCTGTCTCACCGCGTACTTTGATTAAGGCTGCATTGTTGTGAATAAGTGTGGTGCATGCTTTTGCCAGGGCGGCGTTCAAACGGGGGTGGCGCTTAAAGAAGTAAATTCGATACATACAAACATACGATACGATTAATCGTGTACGATTGTCATGAATAAGGATCGTATACGACTAATCGTATCGTGTAGACCAGCCCTTAGTCTAGATATTTCTCTCTTGCTGGTCTTGACCATGACCTTTATAAGTGTGACTTCGACCAAGTGAAAGGTTTGCTATTCTTGTGTTCTAAAAATGAAATTGAGATTGGACAAAATTGAATTTTAGAAAGTTATCATAATTAAGCTAAATCGAGTTCAGAAATTTCATTTTCCCTATAGAGTGATAACCCTTAAAATATGGACGTTTTATAAAGGTTTGTCAATCAACCATACGTGCATGCATTGAAATGGCAAGGTAAACGGAATACATGCAGAGTGGAGAGTACAGAGTAAGTAAGTAAGTGGGGGTGTGCTAATCATCTTGACTTGCAGCTGACAGCTAAGCTGAATTAAGCCGGTACTGATGAGCATGCGCAGATTGAAAAGAGGTTTATAAATACACGTGCTTCCGGGTGTATTCGCGTATCAAAATAAAAAAGTTCGTCGCAAGTCAACTTTTTGGCGTATTACGGAAGTACTAACCAATCAACATTCATGAAATTTTAAAAACGTTTTTGATACGTTTCGGTACGGTACGCTTGAAGTGGAAAACCGGCTTTATAACATAACGTACTTGCAGGGAGGTGCGTCCAATCCCGGACTCACCGAACCTGCAAGTACGTTTGGTTTTTATCCCATACACCGAGGCTGACCGAGCCATACACACATTTGTAGCTCTTCGCGATATATTTGTCGATGTTTTGTGAACATTTTCCCGGCCAAAAAAATCACTGGGCAAGAAAATACTT